CATCGAACTTCACTGAAGCATATTTACGTGGGCGAGGTCATGAGTTTCAGGTAAGACCGGTTTCAGAATGTCTGTCAGGGACGATGGCAGTCAAAAAGGTAAACACATTTGACACTAAGGCTATTTCCAGTTTTGTGGAAGGGCAGACGATCAACACCTGATTTCGATCACACACTTATTGACCGACCTGAAACTGCCGCGCCCACTGAAACACTTAGTTGCTGTGATCTCTCCCACTGTTCTGATCAACTCGGAACAGTCACAATTGCCCCGACTGCTCTTGAATCAACGTCTTTTCAAAACTACAATCCTCTTTTGCCCATGAGGATGCCTCACGTGTCCTCATTCAAATTTTATGGCTTCTCCATATATAATAACCGCATTTTCTCCTTATCTGTGCAGGTCTTTGCGCTTATAAAATTACAACTGAGTTTCTCATAGTTCCATCAGCATCTAGTCATCTGCGTAGAGATGGATTGTATGCCAGAAATGCTTACCGATCAGGACATAAAAATCAGTTTGTCCCAAAACAGTCCTCAGAATTTTACTCCCTTTGATGTAGTTTTCCGAGCATCGGTGCATCGAACGCTTGCAAGAAGATGAGAAATCCCATGCGAGATGGAAAAAATTCAAATACGCTGCCAACTCCTTATCTTTAACTTCTGCTTTCTGTTAAGGAGCTTTAAATTTCACTTAGTTACGAGACCAAGCCTGTTTTGCTAACAACAACAAGACGAAATAAGAAGAATTTCGGCTGCTCCCAACTACTGCGTTTGGATGTCTGGCCAATTGAACAGGCGATAGAATTTTGCTGACTTCATTTGCCAACCATTTCTCGACGCGTGTATTTTCCAAGGTTTTCTGCCTTATTTGATTATCTTCTGTCGGTTGACTGCCGATTAGAGGTTCGCCAATTTTGAACGTCGTTCGATATTTTGAAAAATACGGTTTCCGAACAACTATTTGATCGTTTGTTGACAGCCCTAACTTCTATAGCAGGGATCGGGGAACTTTTTTAAATGTATCATCCTAAAATATATTTATTTACGGAGACGTTACCTCCCCCTTTGACTTGAAAGGGAGAAAACCACAGACCATTTAAATTCAAAAGGTTATTTTGAATCTATTTATAGATAGAATACAATTATAAATAAAAAGGTAAAGCATAAATGCGATAAAATAAATTAATATCCTCATCATGAAACAAAAGGATTTCTTTGAAAACTTTCCACTTCAAGAAATGTTCCTACATCATTGTTGATAAAATAACTTCAAAATTGGGACATTTTAATGACAGAGCAATTCAGACACTGACAAAACAATTTCCCTAGAGCCCGCTGCTACGGATGGTTATATGCGAATCTGCGAATTCTGCTGGCGTTTAAGTGTTTTAAACTTCATTTAAATTTGCAATAATTTAATTGCCAAACGTGAAACTAAGACGTGCCTTCAAGA